AACCATTGTTTCAATGGGTTTTGGGTTATTGTTTCCAGCTCACCGAAAATTGCCTAAAGTCAACAACAAAGGTAGAAAAGTTCACTTACTTTGAGGTGTGTATGTAGAAGGCTCCTGGATGATGATGATGATGATGGGAATTAGAATGGGGGTGGAGGAGAAGGGAGAAGAGAAGGCATTGGGGTGGAAGAGAAGTCTCCCCATGGTGCCATTTCATCCATAAAATTTTAGTTCACTTAGTGTAATTCAATATTATTTTCTTGAAATCAACACTACACTGCATTATATAGTCAATATGTAAAATAAATTTAAAAATGACCAATAATTTGACTGGAAACACAGAAAAAAAGCATTATGTTGAAGAGAATCTGAAGTAAGATGTTACCTCCACTGAAAAGACACAGAGACTGACACCTGTATGGTGTGTTGACAGGCTGTTTGGCGCGCTAAAAACTAGTTTCCCTGTACTTAAATTATGTAAAATAATTGTTAAAATTACTAAAAATTTTAATATAAGACTTAAAATTATTGAATAGTACAAACTTCTTGATATTTACTAAAATAGTAAGGAATTTATGCCCTAGAACCAATTACTGTATTGGCGGACTAATATGACAGCTAGTGTGCAGGCGAAAACATGTTGAGGGGCGCTCGTAAGGAATTCGTTAACCGAAGTTAAGAATCTTATGGAAGGTAATTCATTAACCGAAATTTCGTTAACCGAGGGATCACTGTATATAAATAAACTAAATAATTTTGTATTGTACTCAGTGATGGACGGAGGTGGTGGAACGAGTGTGTGGTGGATAGTGGAGCGGAGGAGGAGGGTGGTGAGTCACTGAGACCCGGCTGGTCTCTCCATTTTTGTAGCAAGGCTAATGGTCTTGTGTTGCTTCTTCACAACACTAATATCAGTAGCACTTGAGGAGCGCTTGGAAGCCATTTCGAATGGTTAGAGTATAGTATTTAGAGCACACATGAATGATGCAGAAGCGTAACAGACAGGTTTGGCGTCGCTTGGGAACGTTGTGACGTTCCACGAGTGAGAGGTAGCAGGCCGAGCCGAGAGAGCATAGCGCAGCCAGACGAGAGGGTGATGCGCCGTAAAAAGTAGTCCGTGACGACGCAAAAACGACGTTAAATTGAGTCGTCGGGACGTTAAACGAATTATTGGTATCTAAAGAGTAGTGACGTAGTACCAAAACGTTAAGCGGGGCGACATTATAGGAGGACTTACTGTAGTTACTAAGTAGATGCGATCTTAATGTCGGCCATCTTCCAATTAGAGATAAAGTGCTGTGCCATTTCACACACAATGTGCTTGGACCAGTCCCAAAAAGGTTCTACCTTTTCACAGACAAGGATGTAGTGTTGGAGTGTGTGGCCATTTGCCTGGCCATACACTTTACATTTTGTTTTGTTCACATCTCCTCGAGGGACTTACTGAAAGAGGTACTTTTATCCTAACCTTAGTGTAGTGGTTACGTCATCTTGTAATCTATTGAACTTGTTCCTTGCTCCACATACATGTTTCATTTAATACATCTCATCATGGTAGATAATGGATTGATTATTGCCTGTTTGAACCTGTCTGTTTACTTCAAATTCATCCACAAGTTCTTTCCTGATTACAGTTTTAAGGGTTCTTTTAGTTAGGCCTAGACTGTATTCAGCAATGTCATTGTTAGATGCGAGTTTGGCTATGGCATCAACTCTGTCATGTTCTCTGAGAGGGAATTCACAGTACAGTAGTTTGATCTTTGACACCCCTATAAACAAGGCATGCACATTTGTGTCCAACTTCAGAGACTAGCATGTGACAATTTGAGTTGAGGGTGTCAAAGGTAAGTACAGTGATGAGGATAGGAAGTCAGTGATGATGAGACTGTCTGTGACAGTGGTTTCAACAAATTTTATGGCGGAGTATAGCAACTTATTCAGTTTGTACAGTGAAAGCTCAGTTATTAATTCGAACTCCTTTCTCAATTGTACAGTAGTACCATTAGGTGGAGTTATGACAACATTTCCAGCTCTCCCACAGGCAATCCAAACGGGACAGCCCCATTAGTTTAGATTACAGGGAGTTTACTGTATAGCAAAGATAGTGTGTAGAAGGGCTGAAAATGAGTTCCAGAGGCTGGTTGCAAGCAAGGTCAAGTCAAACCCAAAGGCGTTTTACCGCTATGCAAAGTCGAAATTAAAAACGCAAGTAGGAGTAACAGACCTGAGGCTTGAAGATGGTAGTTACGCAGATTCTGACCAGGATAAAGCCGAGGCATTGAACAGCTTCTTTTCCTCGGTGTTCACAAGAGAGGATGCGTTTGAGGACAGACGGTTCGACACAGCACTGACCCACATTGTGTTCACAGAAGAGGTTATTAGAAAGAAACTGTCAAAGCTAAAGGTCCATAAGAGTCCCGGCCCTGACATGGTGCATCCTAGAGTGCTAAGAGAGATGTGCAACAAGCTTGCTGAGCCCTTGAAGATCCTGTTTTGTAAATGCCTGGATGAACAAAAAGGTTCCCAGCGAATGGAAAGTGGCTTATGCGAGTCCTATCTTCAAGAAGGGCGATTGTCACTCCACGAACAACTATAGACCGGTGAGCCTGACCAGCATAATATGTAAATTACTTGAGAGTATTATCAGAGATACCGCAATGGAACATCTACTACGAAACAACCTTGTAAAGGATTGCCAACACGGTTTTATGCCGGGGCGCTCCTGCTTAACACAATTGCTCAAGGTATTGGATATTTGGACCTATATTCTGGAACGGGGTGGTAATATCAACAATATTTACCTAGATTTTGCCAAGGCTTTCGACAGTGTACCCCACGAAAGGCTGAAAATCAAACTGGAAGTGTATGGAATTTGGGGAAATGTCCTAGCGTGGATCGAAGACTTTCTACATGACCGCAAGCAGTATGTGGTGATTAATGGCACAAAATCATCATCCATACCTGTCACAAGCGGGATACCACAGGGCAGTGTATTGGGCCCGCTGTTGTTTGTTTGTTTCATAAATGACATGCCTGACGTTGTACACTCATCCATACAAATGCTTGCCGATGACGCCAAGTTATTTCGGGAATCAAGAACCAAGCGGACTGTGAAGAGCTGCAAAAAGACCTCTGTGGGCTACAAGAATGGTCGAAGAAATGGCTGCTGAGATTCAATGCCACGAAGTGCTAGAGGATGCACCTGGGGCATACCAACAGTAAGGAGGCATATCATATGTCCCAACGGGATGAAGAAACTGCACTATTTGATTGTGAATGTGAGAAGGACCTAGGTGTGTATGTTGACAATGAGCTGAAGTTCTCGGGCCATTGCGAGAAGAAGGTAAATCAGGCAAACAAATTATTGGGTCTTATAAGGTCGTTCAGATATCTAGACGGTCCGTCCCTCGTAACAATCTTCAAGAGTGAAGTGCTTCCCCATCTGGAGTACTGTCACCCCGTCTGGTCCCCAAGATATGCCAGGGACTGTCAGTTGGTTGAAAATGCTCAAAGGAGGGCCACCAGACTGGTGGCACTTCAGCACCTCAGCTACCCTGAGAGATTGGAGCGCCTGAACTTGCCTAGCTTATACTACAGACGGGCAAGGGGTGACCTAATTGAGGTGTATAAGCATCTCGAGGGGCACTACTCAGTCGAGTGTCCTTACTTGGAGCTGGCGGACGCTAGCCCCACAAGGGGTCACAGCTCAAGATTGAAGAAGCCGCAAGTCCAGAAAACTGTGAGGGCAAACTTTTTCGGAGCGAGAGTTGTGAACTCTTGGAACAATCTACCAGAAAGTGTTGACGGCACCGAGCGTGAGCTCTTCCAAGACTAGACTTGACCAACACTGGAGCAGGTTCAGGTACATTCAGGAGCCAGTGCATGCCCAGTACTTGCCAACAGTGCGTAACAGAAACGTGACCGATCGCCCAAGCAGCTAACGAGTTGATCATTTGGTGAAGAGGATAAAAGAAAAGGAAAAATAACAGAGACGTGACCGATCGCCCAAGCGACTAACGATCCGATCAGTGGTGAAGAGGATAAAAGTAAGTAAAAGACATGTACAGTACTGTACAGGCAGACATTGATTTATTTAAATTCACTGTTGGTTTGAGGTGTTTATTACGGTGTATCATTATGTATATTATTTCTAAACTGATGAACTTAATTGCATGTGTTTTGTTTTGTTTTATGAGTTAATTTCAATATGTTGGGATAATTCAATATTTTAGACTAAGTCAATAGAGCCAGAGCCCAAACAATATCAAATTAGCGAGGTTTCAGTGTACAGTGAACCCTCACTTTACGCGGTCAATTGAACCCATGGCGGCCCGCGTAAAGTGAACAACATAACATATGGGATTAATTGAAATAGAGACCGGGCCGACCCCCAAGCTCCACTTTTTCAGACAATACCTACGTTGTAGTAAAAATAACTTCTTAATTTTATGATGGTATGCACACACAATTAATAATTAAGAGAAATATCAATAATATTAGGTTTTTTAACACTTACATTAGTAGAAAAGATGGCTGGGCACACGGGGATGGGGGGTTGGTTCCGAGGCAGAGGGCAGATTATTGGCCCTCACCTGTATCACTTGTATCAATTGTATCACTATCCACCACAGAGGCTTGCAGGACCTCTTTGTCAAACCCCTCAAAGTCCATATAAGTCCATATCCTCTCTATCATTATCACTATCACTGACTTGGGCCGGCTGTGGTGGGTGGCGGGTGAAGAACTCGGTAATGTTTTGATGACTGGGCGACCTTGTGTGCACCCTGCTCGCGTCGCTCTCCGTGTAAAAGGGTACACACACACCGCGGAAAGTGAGCATTCCATGTTCGGCAGAGTACCGCGTAAATGTGGAAACGCGTAAAGTGGGACCGCGTAAAGCGAGGGTCAACTGTATGTAATATACTGTACCTGTACGGGTTATCACTGTTAACTAATGGTTCCTGCATTACATATGGTATTTAATTAAGACAAACTCCTGATACAATTTCCTCCTAAATTGAATTTATTTATTCATATTAAAAACACAAGAAGGGAATAAAGGTACAATACTCAGTGCACCAAAAGCCATAACAAGCCATCTTTTAAACAAACACAAAAGTCCTGGATACAAGTGCAAATTATCGGCATAACCTGAATGAATACACATTACGTACATACTGTTCTGTCAATTACAAATATACTGTATAAACTGTAACTTATTTAAATACACATATTTCAGTACGACATGCTGTCAATATTTGACAATAAAATATATTCAACCACAAGGTACAATAAATAGATTTTGAGTCCAACCTCAAACACTAACTTGAAAAATGTTATATTATGAGGGTCACAGATTGAGGTATAACTCATGGACAAGCTTATGTCTCACTGGAAAAACTTAACATTACCTTTAAGGATAATAAATATACTGCACTGTACTCGGTTTATACTATATTTCCTCTTATGACTGAGAATTCTTTCTCTCTTCCTTTTTTTAACTTTGCAAATTGCTTCACTCATGGAATTTGTCATTAGCAATTGATTCAGTTTTGTTTATACGGTACTGAATACAAAATGAATAAGTAATAAACATAATCTGAAATAGTTACAAAAGTGAGGACTTTCTCTCTCACAACATCCAATTAATAGCAAGTAGCAGCTCTTTTCTTCATGCATAGCTATGGTACAGTAGTTGTATTCCAAATATATGCACATACACTCAAATATATATTTATCTTCCCCCAAGCCCTTGCTCATGCTACAGTATATGTCTTATATTGTTTTACACTGAACTTCACCATTTCAGTTATTTTTCTTCTTCATGATCATTGAGAATATCTCAACTAGAAGTGATTACCGAATTTCACTTTTCTTCATTTTTTTTATTGTCAAAGAAGGAGTTGGGATCTGCTGGGGTGACATCATTTTGAAGTGCAAAAGAACAAAGATCTCTCTTCATAGCAAAGGCGTCCTCGCCATCTGCGTAATACTTGGGCTCAATTTCTGAGATCCTGTGGAAAATCACAACACCAGCTGTTATGACACACCCCACACAAGACCACTAATATGTACAGTATATTGACAATAGCTGAAAAATATCAAACCTAAACATACTACTGTACACCCTGTATATGTGTGGGAAGATTGTTATGGCAATAATCTAAGAGTGGTGTCCTAACTTATTGTCGGAGTTGCCTCCCTGAAAGTGTGACTTTAAATTAAACTACTGTACAATAAGTAAATCAATTCTTCTCATAAAAATTAATGGAAATAACTGGGGTTTGGTTGCAGGGAGTTTTTTCAGCAGGCACAAGTCATTCTATACACGTTATAGTTTTAATAAGACACACTGCATATTTAAAGATGTAAATAAGTTAAAAAATAAAAACACCAATTTATATGTACCAATGATACTTAACTTGGCAGTATACAAATAAGATAAAAAGCAAGGAATGCTAACTCATGAAATATGCAGAATATTATCACTACTGTATTCCTCTAATGTTTGGAAAGTTTGTGAAAGTTCATGTAAAAATTCAGTGGGTTGTTAGAAAACAGGATTGTAACAGGTACAGTTACCCCCGCAGCCTGGGAGTGTGTGGGGGTGGGGTACAAGGTGTAGCAACGCAGCACCGTAGTCAGGGATGAATAAATGGGCGTGAAACAGTGAAATTTCCGTGTCTGCGATAAGATACAAACAATAAAGGAGGTAAACATATAAATATACAGTTGCCTCAAAGAGTTCCTTCACCCCCTGTGTTAATGTCTCAATACTAGAGTGAACTTATGAAAGAATCCATAGTAGTCTTGTAACAATGGAGCTGATTGGTGGAAACGATTGAGCTGATTGGTGGAAACGATTCCTAGACATAATTTCTCTTGGCAATAATTTTAAATAGAAAATTTGGAGTTTCCAAGCCCAAGGTCTGATTTTGGTGCCGGAAATGGGAAAAGTTAGAGAATCTTTGAGACCAACCAAGGTGTGGTGGGCCCAGGAAGATTACCCCAGCTGATGACAGGCAACTCCGAGAGATAGACCTTGAGGTGGTGTAAGTGACACTCAAAGTCAGGCTTGATCATGTAGAACAAAGGCCAGTGAACACACCTGTGGCCATATCTCCAAATCATGATTTTGGCGCTTACGTCACTCCCATTCTAGGCGCCTCAAATGTAGTTGCTTTGAGAGACTGATTGCAAATGGATGTTTTACCTGAAACAATTCGAAACAGGCTGCAAGAAGCAGGGGTTCAACATAGGACTCCGGCAAAAACGGGAAAATTAGAAGATCGTCATCGACAGACAATTCTTGAATTTGCACAACAACATGAGAATAAGGGTATTGATTACTGGGCTGGGTTATCTTCACGGAGGAAAAAAACATTTGTGTCTACCGCCCATGGTTGTCTCTACTGTTGACAAACAAATAACACAAGAGCTGAATGTCAAAACATCTACTGTATGAGGTGACACGCGACGAGTACGTGAAGTGTCATGTATGGATGCATCTGTAAGGCATGGGTGAATGACCGAGAGGATAATATTCACGGAAGTATACATAACTTATTTATTTGCCTGTTATTTCAGAAGTTTACCATACATTGTTTTCCAACAATATCTTCACCATGTGTTGCAATATCTAATTATTTGTTAATGAAAAATTAGTTTACTCTAAGGCAATGTAATTAAGTCTTAGTGAGTATAAAATATATGTGCAGTATTTTTTGTCAAAATACTCTTCAGAAAGGCCAAAATGCATCCCAGACCCCGTTAGGAAAACCACCGCTCGCCTCAAACTCCCTATCTAAATTTAGACCTTCATCAGACCTGGTTGTTAAGAAATTGCCAGTACACCTAACCTATGGAAAATGCCCATGTAATGGTTATAATGATTTACTTAACCTACATAGTCAAAATTTTTAATATCTTTTCATGTACCTGGTAGGCAAATTCTAGGGTAATATTTTAGATCCAAAATGTAATCCCTAGATGAAATTACTTGCATGTGTCTGAAGCAAACCTTGCAGATAAGGGCGAGAACTACTGTACCTTGTATTTTGAAAGCAGAAACTGACAACTAACACATAGACAACTTACGTGAATTTCAATGTATTAGTGTACAGATTTAGAGCTGCTCGGTTTGATTTTCGGACATGGAGAGAGACATACTTGGCATTGAAACACTCTACCATCGCTCTAGCCGTCTGATCCATGAGTTTCTGTGCCAGCCCTAAACGTCTGCAATAAAAGTGCTTTTTAAATTTTCATAAAGGAGAAGAATAACATGACATACATACATATAACATCTTACAAACAACAAACACAGCTTTAAAAACAACTGTAGAAGTGTTGATGGTAACTATCAGTGAAGGTCTTACACTGACATTAGTTCTAAGGACTCATGAGGTAAGTCCTGGTTTAACCTCCAGTAGACTGGGTGAATAGTTACAAAGACAGGCAGAGGTTAAAAACAAAGTGAATTGAACAAAAGTGAACATACAAGTAAACAAAAACTAATTACTGTGCTGTACTATAAGGGATCAGCCATAGCCGGGGATTTAGTACACAATGAGTTTCACTAGTTGTGCATGGCAAGGATAAGAAGATAGGAAGAAATACAAAATATCAAAATACAGTACAGTACTGCACATAAAATACAGCTGTGAAGAACTATAAGAAAGGAAAATGTCTATACAAAATAATTCCATTAGTCTGCACCTCTAAATAATAAATGGAGGTCATATCAAGATGTTACAGTGTAGGTCACATTACCTGTGACTTCGGCGCACAGCCAGGGATGTTATGTGTCCATGGGGGTCCTCCTCACTCTCCTCTTCCATCTTGGCAAGTACATACCTGTGTCACAAAAATATATTTTAATTCATTATACAACAACTAAAGCAATAACAATAACAATATATATATATATATATATATATATATATATATATATATATATATATATATATATATATATATATATATATATATATATATATATATATATATATATATATATATATATATATACTGTATATAGACCTCATAAATATTAACTGCAACTCCACAAAAGCACAAGATTCCAGTACAGTAATACTAATGATGCTACATTACTAAGTTTTAAATCAAACCATCCAAAATTGTAATTTTGGGTTAATTTTTAGACCTAGCCAAAGATATAGTGATGACAACACCACACTAACTAAAGCTAGCCAAGGGGAAAGATTAACCATATAACCATATTTAATGTTTAATACAGTACAAACATTGGTCATGACAGATATGATGCAAGAAGTATTAGCTTAGCAATGAGAATATGATTTGTGAGTACAGTACTGTTCCCTATTATTCCATCTCTTATCCACTATCTGTAAGACGAATAAAAAAAACAGAAGCCTAAGGAAGGGAGGATAAAATAGAGAGGAGTTGTACTTGCAAAATGCAGATAGAAGAATGGGCTGATACACAAAGACATGTAAGAACTCACCCCACAACCTGCCCCTCATCATCCTCTGCTACATAAGAGAGCTGTGGCCAAGAGAGACCATGGTACAAATAATATTTCATCTGGTAGTTCTCCGGTAGACACAGCAGGTTGCAATGCTGCATGTGCATCAGGTCTTCTGGCTGTGAAGTAAGGAACAATTAAAATTTTCACGCGAAGGCAGGCGAAAGATATGATAAAAGTAGGTGGAACAAAAACTAACTCAACTCTCTACAGCAACACAGTAAACAGCGAGTCATGTTATTGATAAAATAATTAAGTCTGGAATCCATTATAAATATAACAATGCTAAATGTTGTAATGCTAGAGCACAGTTGAGGACATAATATCCCAACCATAACTACAGGCAGCTAAACATTATATTTTTTCACTATGTTATTCCCAGTATTCTTAAATACAGTACAGTACCTAACTTTGTCATAAAATTACCAAAGGAATTGTTGCATTAAATGACAGAGACAGGCCCATAGAAGGGAGCTAGGATGGTACTGTACATCAAAGTCCAGATTGGACTAATCTAAATACAGTACAGGTACCACCAATCCTGAGAACACTGCTTATGACCACAGATAATTATTTATGTGCACAGGCAGGGGCTTGTGTCTAGATTTTTGTCAGTACAATAGTGTCTGAATATGCAGCCCAAAGCTTATACTGTATCATTAATTGAGGTTATGCAACACAGCCCTGGTCAGATCAGTTAACTCAACACGGTGAAGTTATATATACTGTATATATATATATATATATATATATATATATATATATATATATATATATATATATATATATATATATATATATATATATATATATATATATATATATATATATATATATATATATATATTTCCTTTTTTAAGGTACAAAATGAGGTACGGAATTATGGTTCAATATTTTATCATACCAATACAATTTTTTTTTTCAGGCACATTAAGGAATTATGGTAGCTTTTATCACTGCCAATATCATTTTGGCCATCCAGCAAATTTTAGAATTTTAAGTTTTGGAATCAATAGTTTAAACAATTCTTAGACTTGTTTCTTCTGTAGCATTTATTCTGCAAATGTTTGAGAAGCAGTGCCGTAACCGATTTTTACCGGTTAGGTTAGGTTTTGGTTAGGTTTAGGTTAGCTTAGGTTAGGCTAGGTTGAAATGATGTTTTGAACGATTATCACCTTCATTTCTATCACAAATTACTACTTTTTGTGTTTTTCCCCCCACCCAAAACCCTTGGTTCCCACTAGGGGGTTCTCCATTATTAGTGGATAAGAGGGGGGGGGGGTAACTAAAAAAAAGGTAGTGATTTGCAAAAGAAATGAAGGTCAGAATCGTCCAAAACACATCAAAAACAATTGGAAAAACATAATTTCAACTTCCAAATATGTGGATGACCGAAATAATAATCTTACCCTAATAGGTTCTGTGCTTTCTCGTTTCCATTTATCTATTTAATAATTTTAAATAACGCTTCCACAAATTTTAGTCCAATTCTATCTCCTCCTTCTGGTGGCAATCTAAAAAAAAATAAATAAATAAATAAAAACTACCTGACAACCGCACAAATATCCAGCCTTATTTGTTTTTCCCGGATTAAACAAAAATTGGATGCCACGGTCAATTTATAGTAGTGCAATGTTCTTTCTTTGGGTGTTCGAAATACATGGTATGTGTAAAAAAAACAAAAAAAAGAGAAAATCACCATCAAAACAACCAAACCTAACCTAATCTGGGGATAGGTTAGGTCAAATAGAACGATGCACTAATATAAAAAGACCGATGCGTCACAACCACCAACTTGAAGATTTGAAGACAGTGTATCTGGAAAATAATGATCTTTATATATTCCAAAATATCAAATATGGGATGTTGGTGGAACCGCGGTAACACGGGTACCTCTCACATGTCATGGGGTGAGTCTTGCCTCTGGACAGATATGGGAAGTGTTATCCAGTGTGACTTTACCAGACATCGCAGGTATCCTCCTGTACTAACACTGGACAATAAAGTTAGAAGCAAACAACAGACATAGACCGAACCGTTAATTAATTGTTAAGTGATGAAATGATACACTAAAATAGCTCATGAAACTTACCTTTGCACACCGTATATTCATGATGTTCTTCCGCTTCTCTGTAATAGTTCACTTAGTCAAATATTAGGAATATGAGTGATTTTTTATTAATATTAAGAATCTACGTGATTCTTTTGTGTAGGTCACTTGAGTTACTGTTGTATTAGATGAACACAAGGGTCACGTTTAACAGCAACCTTCCGTCTCACTCAATGTTATTAATATCCCACGAACCACCGCCTTTAACTCTTATCAAAATATTAGAACAAGTAAAGCTTCAATTTACCTTAATATTTATGTTTTGTGGACAAATTAATTATTTATATAAGGAATTTCAAATGTTAAATTTTTGTTTCTCCTGTAAATATTAGAGCCAGGACATGCCCAGTGCTGTTAAGACGTGACCGATCTCCGAGTGGCTAACGAGCCGATCACTGGTGAAGAAGATACAAGTAAAATGTCAAGCACTAAGGATCTACGATAAGACAAGGTAGATGGTTCTAATAACTAGCTGTGGGTCCCGATTTTTCCTTTTAAGATTTACTTTATCCCCTTCGCCACAGGAGAAGAATCAGTCCGAGTCTGGAAAAGGATTTCTGTATTTTTTGTTTTTCAAAATCCCTATGCTCTGCCTGGATAGTCGGATAGTATTATTCGGGTCAGGTTCAAGTTGCCGATCAGCGGTAAAGTAGATAAAGTAATATCAACTTAAAAAAAAATATAGTATTGGTGGACGTTCAGTTGGTATATTCTTTTAACATTGACCGTGGCCATATCAACTTTGCTTAACCTCATGTAAACATAGAGCCTATTAGCCACTACCGACTTAACATTTTTCACCAATGTCAATTTACTTTATCCTCTTCACCACTGTTGGACCTTTTATTTTATACTTTATCCGCTTCACCAGTAAAGAACTTGTTATACCTTGTCCTCATAGGGTACTTTGTCGAATGTATTGACAAAGTCCAGACACGACTGCTTATAGACCTCTATTAAACGTATATTATCACCAATTTCCCGTTTACAGGGTGTTCATAATCAGGTAAAATAAGGGTGTATCTTATTTACAGGTAATCCAATTAAGGTAACAAAAAATGTTTACACCTTCCATACATTGTTTTGGAAAACCTATATAAAATATATATATTATATTTTTTTAAACCCTAACATAACGTAATCTAATTCTTAACTCACCTAACTTTTCCTTTTTTACCTTTGCAATTGCTAAATTAGCCTAACACATCACAATGAAAGCTAATTTGAGTAAATACAAGCAACAGGAACCTAACTAAACCAAATCGAACCTAAATAAGTGGTTCTACAGTATGTTACTCTAGTCATGTCATGTTCTCTAGCCATAAGTGGTTCTCTAGTCATAAGTGGTTCGACAGAATGTGGTTCTCTACTCTTAGGTCATGTGACAAGGGCGGATCCAGGTGGGTCCTGGGGGTCCGGACCCCCCTTTTCTTTAATGTAGTATTGTACTCAGGCAATTTTTTTATAGTAAAAGGTATTTACTATTGATTTCCGAATCTCCTAATATCAAGTGCGCATAGCTTCGAAATGGCCTCAAAATGGCCATGACATTGGTCAGATTTAAAAAAATTCAGGGTGGGCGTGTAGTGGGCCCCATCCCCAACAAGTGACGACTGAGCTCCCGCGCGCCTACCAGCCAATCAGCGTACAGCCAGCAATGTTGGTAGACCTACTTTCCAGTGCGGACGCACACGTAGCAACGCTAGGACCAGAGTGCCGGGTGTGCCTGGCCACCTCCAACCCTGATGTTTCTAGATTGTTTAAATACGGCCAAGGCTGGCCAGGGAGATCATTTAAAAAAAAACTCACTGGATCACCCAAGTGGATGAAGAATCCACTTGGGACTGAAACTCTCAACAAATGGTTACCAGAGCTTCATCAACGAAAAAGTCCACAAACTACGAAGCAAACTCTCAGATATAAGAAGATTTAAAAAACTGAACATACCAAACAAAAGAAAATTATACACGGCAGTAATAAAAACAGTAATGTGCTGCCCGCCTGTACCAACCAACTCATTTAGCGCAACGAGAATCAAGAAACTTCAAACGGTACAAAATAAAAGCCTAAGATTCATATATAACACCAGCTACGAAGAAAGAGTAACAAACGAAGAACTCCATAGAAGAGGCAACATCAACGCAGTAAACGTAGACATCTACATCCAAGCCAAAAGAACTTGGGAAAAAGTACGAGATTTAGACTCAGAAACTGTAGCAAACCGGCTCGACGACGAACCAGTAAGAAGAGCAAGAGAAGAACACGCTTGGTTCAGATTAAGCAGAATAAAAGTCGACAACCCACCACCAATACCAAAATACACCTAAAAATTATCAAATTCAATACAAAAACAAAAGAACTGTATAGCCATTAAATACTGTACCTTCAAGTCAAGCTTCAATCTTTCAATTAAACCAAAAGATAGGACCACCTCCTTGTGAACAAAGTAGCAAGTTGGATCCTACAACTATTCCTAAACATTAGACTTTCCTACTATATAAACAAAACGCTTCACTAAAAGATGAGAGTGACCAAAGGACACTACCCTTGGCCTCTCCAACACTTGTCTTCTTGCCCCTTCCTTCCATTCTTATTAAAACAAAAGATACGTTGCTCAGCCAGCTCCACAAGAACCTGGCCAGAGGTCGTCACCCCTTCCTTGGAACAATGGCTACCTCAAAATAAACATACTTTTAACTAAATGACAAAGGCTTGAGAGCTAGAACCTAATCACGCAAGATGTAAGTTCAAATATAATTATTATAACCTCAGCATATCTGGTTGAGCCCGGATACTGTGAATCTCTTACTTTCCTTCAAATTTCCTCCCTCTTTTCCTTGATCCTACACCAATCCCCTCTCCCCCAAATCGCCACCAAAGAACTTCCAATCGTAATCCCGGCCCTCCCACTCAGCATTACAAGCAATAGCCTTCTACCTTATCTACAGACGTCAAGTCAAGTCAAGGGAGACCATTCTACTCTGACCTACAGGCACCAGCAAGACCTCTCTCCAGCGCCTCACCACCCAGCTCCCTCAGAAAGCTCCTCGCCCTACAGGACCTCTGAGCAAGCTACTCCTCACCTAGTAACTCCTTAGCACTGCACTGTACAACAATATATACTGTATACAGAAAACGCATTGTGAGTTTCTATCCTACCTCATTCCTGAGTGTGAGATATCTACATGTACGTACGTTTGTGTTCCCATACAAAGAGAAAATAGACAACTAAAGAGAATTGACAACTGGCCACATACTGTACGCTACAGGCTTGCTGCGCTCTCCATGTTCCCCACCAACAAATTCTTGCCCCCTCCCCCGCCTTTGATATTCCTGGATCCGCCCCTGTGTGATTCTATAGTATGTGGTTCTCTAGTCATTTGTGGGTCTACAGTGTGGTTCTATTAAGTCATGAATGGTCCTACAGTACGTGGATTATTATTTTTTTACAGGGATTAGCCCACCTGGGCACAGGTCACTGATCTACATCGGGGCCTGGGGGACGAAAATGTAATAATAATAATAATAATAATAATAATAATAATAATAAAGAACCATAAAGAAATACAAAAAAAAAGATCATAAGTGAGAAACAATATATGTATGTTGTGTTGTTAATGGTAAGAGAAACAATTGAGACTCGCAATTGTGTGAAAATGAGGCAGTCAGTCAGCTCAGCAACCTGGGACTTGGGTCACAATTTTCGTGAGGCCATATGGCAGCAGGGTCTACCATTAGACAATACATTTTGCTTCCAATATCTTCCCAGGGGGTAGTACCTCCCTACCCACTCCTACTCGACTGAAGTGGAACCCCCCCCCCCACCTTCTAATATTCCTGGATCCGCCCCTGTGTGATTCTATAGTATGTGTTTCTCTAGTCATATGTGGTTCTACAATATTTATGGCTCCCTTGTCATAAGTGGTTCTAAAGTATATGTGGTTCTATGGTACATGTGGTTCTCTAGTCATATATGGTTCTACAATCATACACTAGGGCCAAGGGCTAGACAAATTTTCGAGGCGTGATGGTTCCCTCGTCTCCATCCTCGTAAAGATGTCACCATAGTACTTCTCTTTGGGGTTTAGATGCGGCATCTGTCACCTGAGTAGGAATTATAACTAAATAACGTTGTAACTTGTACGTGCCGCCGCCATTCTTGGCGAGATTCCCGCCCTATTTTTGATCTTGTCTTAAATCCAGTAGAATATGTATTGACAAGCACTTTGGAACGTCTCATTAATATATCAAACAGAAGAGTAACGTTGTGGTTAGCAAGTAAGACTTGTGTCAGATTTGTAGAATATTTGCCAAATAAATTACTTCATGTAACAAAGGGTGAGACCCTATTGATCTATCAAAATATATGTATATGAACTGTAAAATAATATTCCACAAAAAGAGATTCGTGTACCCTTACTGGATAACTTGAATGTTTAAAACAATATTTTTGATGCTTTACTTTTTTTATTTTTAACTGAGAGTCAACGCTCCTTACGAGATACTCGAACCTATTACTGTTTACCGCCATTTTCGTTGCGGCGGCCGTTGGTTTTGTCGCCAGTGGAAAATGCCTTCGATAACGTAGCGCCTCCAGAAGTTATGGTCCGAGTGTGTGGAAATGTGGATGTAAGATAAGCGCAGAATCATCATGTATATCAGACAGGTGAGTTACGAAGAATTTAATGATACGGTGGTACTTTTAACCAGGTAGGATCCCCAGGTCGAGTACCAGGGGGGGGGGGGAGACCAGCCCTATCTCACCTAAACATTGATTAATTTTGGGATATAGTTTGATTATGTTGTCCACGTATTGATGCTCATTATAATGTCTACAAGTATAATTTTATATGCGACTGATTCTTTCCTTGAGTGGTAAATAGGGTGTTTGGCCAGTGAGGAGCACCTTAACACTGTTCTCTCGTAGTGACCACGCACGGAACTTAATATTGATTCTTAAAAAGGGAAATATAGCACAAAATAATCAATAAGTGTTTTATTACGTAGTGGAAATTGACCGGTCCGACTAATTACCCAAATGTAGCCGCAATGAAGTAAAATAATGGTCCTACATGAATAAATCGGACTGCCAATCACTTCTCGATTATTATTTGGTGTCAGTCACAAAAAATTGGTAAACTTAATTTAATCTGAGTTGTGTTAGGTTAGGTACATGCACTCGATCTATTAACTCAGATTAAATTAAGTTTACCAATTTTTTGTGACTCCGTGACACCAAATTCTTACATACATACGTACGTACATACATACGTACGTACATACATACATACATACATACATACATACATACATACATACATACATACATACTAGTCGAGAAGTGATTGGCAGTCTGATTTATTCATGTAAGATCATCATTTGACTTCATTGCGGCTACATTTGGGTAATTACTCGCTCCCTCGGTACATGCACGCGATCTATTAACTCAGATTAAATTAAGTTTTCCAATTTTTTGTGACTGTGACACCAAATACTAGTCGAGAAGTGATTGGCAGTCCGATTTATTCATGTAGGACCATTATTTGACTTCATTGCGGCTACGTTTGGGTAATTAGTCGGACCCGTATTGACGGACTGATCTTAGTGGCTGAGTTTGGGGTAATTCATTTTAGTTAATATTCGTCCATTGGCTGTCCACAGGTTCCCGCCATGTTTACCTGAGGTTGTACAGTACTCACTTGGTCAGTTATCTCCTTGAATACAGTCCAACAAGGTCTGCCCATACTGTCACCAACGTGCTTCGTCACCACTATTTTTAACCCGTTTCTTAACCACTGCTTTACCCCCTTGGTAAATTTTTATTTTAGGACGGTATGTTTTAAACGAATCTGACCTTCATTTTCGGCGGAAATTGCTCATATTTGCCCCCCCATAATAATGGGGGAGAGCCAGCCTGGGAAATTGGGGATTTTGGGTGGGGGAGGAAACGAATCATCTAACCTAACAAAACTTAACCCAACCCAACCCATAGTCGTGGGCGGACCACTGGTAGGCCTAGCTTAAACTAACTTAAATGTCTCGGTAGTAAAATCCTTTGGGGTGCGTCGTGTTCGAAAGTACAATACCTTAGAAGTGGAAGGACCAGGGATACGTAAGAATTAGATAGAATGATCGTCTTTCTCGTAAAACTCGGCAATAAACTTAAAATGATCGTAGGATCACAAATGACAACCAACCTCCACCATGACCATTGTGATGCTGGTCAATGAAATTACCCAGGATGCTTCCCTTCAAAAATATCAAACGTGATCGGTCGAAAAAAAATTCTCGTGATGATATCGATATATCATTGGTCACGACTGGATGACGTCAGTTAATATTGGGCATGCGTGATGTGCAGATAACATCTCACAGACGAAGACTGAAAACTACGTGAAATCACTTAAATTCAATTGTGTCGCTATAATCCATTTCCGCCATGTATGTATGGGGTTCAAAATGCTCAGAATAGCAAGATCTAAATGTTTCAGTAGTTTATTACTTTCGGGCGCACAATGTCCTAAAGTAATATAATACCACTCCTTTCGTCACCCCGTTCGTTCTCATCAATATATTCACGAAATAAAAACATTGTTAATGCGACTGCAATCATCTCACGGCTCGGTGGTTTATGCGCTGGTGCCAAATCACCTTCATTTGTTCTGTATTTTGTTTATTTACCAATGTTTAATAATTTTCTTTATTAAATAATTACTGTTCATGTACAGTGGTCCCTCGTTTAACGAACACAATTGGTTCCACAAAGTCAGTTGTATTTTGCTGTGTTTTGAATGAATTTCACCTTCAAAACGGTCACAAATAAAAGATTTTTGAGTTTGACCCCCCAACAATAATGGGGAACCCCCGTGGGAACCGGGGGTTTTGAGTGGGGGGAAACTAAAAAACGAGTGGTTTGTGCCAGTTTTGAAGGTCAAATTCATTCAAAACACTGTCAACTTATAGTAGTGCATCGGTCTGAACGAAAAGAGTTGGATATTTATTTATTTTATCTCTCTCTCTCTCTCTCTGAAATCACATAAATAAAATTCCAACCAACCCGCATCGTACCTTAATCTGAAGAAGAATCAGGTTGGACAAAGAACGTTGTTCGGTGATACACTGTGTTAAAAAAAACCCTAATATTCTGATGAAACTCGGCAATTAACGTAAAATAATCTTTATCACAATGTCGGCACAGCTCTTCCACCTGTTCAGCCATATCTGGTACTGAAAATTCAAATCTCCGCTCCCGACGCACCCACACATTGTTCATTGGCTAAGACAAAAAACTCTTGCCCATTAATAATTCTCCTATCACTATAGCCAAAAAAGAAACCCCCACACAATCCCCGCACATGCGCTGTAGACGCTTAAGAAGCTAAGACAGAGATAAGGAGCACTGGCTGGGGGTTAGACCTTCTCCGCCAGATGTAAACAAATCATGACGACACTTGTGACTGAGCAAATCTAATAATATTGAAAATTTAATATCTCGGTTATCCTTAATTTCCGACGGAATATCATAGAAGAAATTAATTTTTTCAAATTTTCTGTAAATTTTCCAAATTTATCGTAAAGAATTATTGGACTAAAGTTAACAAATACCGTCACTAGCTTTGCTTCATGATGGAGTAACTCGATTAGCAGATAGAAGTTAAAGGTTATCCTTTACAGTACTTGCTTTCACGTTAGGCGATTATGCCACTCATCACAGTCATTATTTGTGCGGACATTTCTTTTAAATGCACTCCAAGCAGATGGGGTCCAAATGTCATTCCTGAACCTCTCGTCAGCTACTTGTTTGAAGTGTGCAAGGTGAGCCGAGTTAGTAATGTGTGGGCCCAGTTGGTTATTTAAGATGGGTGTGGTTGTCTAACGGGGTGGGCCGAGTTGGAGGTACACCATCTCCTTACCTCCTCCTTGTAGGTTAGGTTAAGTAGGTTGCTTCCTTTGGTTTTAGAATATTTTTTTTTTTTTTATGTATTTTTGGTGTTTCACTCAAATTTTACCTCCATTTGTCTATAAATTAGCTGTTTGTTAAAAATGAAGTTCATTTTTTGCAAAAAACGCTAATTTGCAAAAGAAATGAAGGTCAGATTTGAGTAAAACACCGAAAAACATAAAATAAACCTATTTTCATACCAAAACCTGAGGACAGCCAATGGACGAATATTTACCTTCGTTTTAGCACACCCTCGAATTTTAACAAGAAATGTTTGATTTCTGATATATTTTTATTGTTTTGTTCAGATCTGACCTTCTTTTCCATGGGAAATGTGTAATTAAAAAAAAAAAAAATGCATTAGTTCTTTTGTTTTTATTCCATGATATAAGAGAGCGGAGGCAGGCAGTGATACGTCTCATGACTCCAGACAGCTCGCGGTGGGACAAGAAATGGTGGGTGGAGATTAGTTGATCTAATTTTTTAGGCGTTTCTCACTTGTGCGATTTTTCTGAAAGAAACACGTTTCCAAGAGGCTTCAAGGGTTGAGGAATGTATGTACGAGGTAGAAATTGCCTAAAAGTAAGTGCTTCTATGCGATTTGAAGATGAGCTAAACCGAATAATAACCAAGTTTGGTAAGGCTAGTCAGAAAGGCCATCTTAATAAAGCTATCATTGTATAGTCTGCCCACCACGCATCCGCATTAGACTGCTGTACCAATAAACCTTGACATTTTGAATAAGTCTTGCCATACCCATATCCTGTGCCTTTGGGGGGTATTATTTAATTTGTTGTCATCTAAAGAATTTTGTGAATTTTAAGGTTGAAATCAATAGTTTAGAATTTAGACAATTCTTGACGCTTTTCTTCTATGATGTTTCCTGTGCAAACAACCTATAATATGCACCTGGTTCGGAAGTTAGGTTGGGTTGTTTTCGATGGAAACAAGAAAAGTGGGCTAATATTTATGACGGTAAATTTGCATTTTCAACCAATATCTCACTTGAGCTGAGCAATATGTTTTTCTGGTGGTTTAGACAATTTTAAGACACTTTTCTTATGCCATTTCCCTTGCAAATGACCTAAAAAAGCTAAACCTAAACCTCCTAACCTGCATCCCCCAGTATATTTAAGTAATTTTTTTTTTTGAGGGAGGGGGGGGGGAGAATTAGCCCACCAGGGCACAGGTCAATGACCCACATCAGGGCCTGGGGGCAAAAATATAATAATTATAATTAATAATCATAATAATTAATGAATTGAATAAAAAAATATATTAAATGAAAATACAGGGTAATGATAATAATAATGGGCCGTAAAAAAAAAGAGCATTAGTGAGAAATGATATACAGTATGTATGCTGTGTTGTCAAAGTAAAAGAAACAAGGGAGACCCTGAAATTGTGTGTAAATGAGGCAGAAAGTCAGATCAGCAACCTGGGACTTGGTCACAATTTTTGTGGTACCATATGGCAGCAGGGTCTACCATTAGACAACACATTATGCTTCCATTATCTTCCCAGGCGGTAGTACCTCCCTGTTTGTTAGCTGCCTACTACTGCATCTGGCCACCATATGTAAATAAAATTTGGGGGGAACAAAAACATTAATCACTGACTGAAAGGAACCATCAACCGATCCATAAGATAGTGTACTGTATAAACATGGCAGGTGGACAGAGGGTCAATAGCTGCTCCTTCGTGAACAGAAAAGACATTAAAAATCATAAAAGGGAAGTGATGCAAAATGCATTCCGTGTGTGTTTTTCGTATGTTTCTCAAGGTAACAAAGCTTTATCATTGGAGAAATTTCATCAGGTAGCTGCTAAGGCTGAACCTCGACAGTATTTCCACACTAACCTGGCCCTTAAGCCACGCCCCTCGTCTATAGCTACGGTACACTTGGCTGATAGGTTCTTAGAAAATGCTTGTGTAGCTGTCCATTTATTCATACTAAATATGTTCACAATTGGTAAGCAGACCTGTTATTATCTAAAATAATGTTAAATAACTGGATTAACAAAATGCAAATGATTTCAGGGAGGATGTTAGAAAATTTTAAATATTTATTATAAAAGGTCAAAGTCAAAGATGAAATTCGCTTTTGAATAAAATCTTTTCATATTTCTTTGTTTGGTACCAAACATAAAGCAAACAGAAACAAATTATGCCAAAAATATAGCACATTAGGTAATGAACTACAGTTTGTATGGCTGTATTTATCCCAAATAATTTATAAAACTGATAAAACTCAATAGAAATGCACGCTTATTTACACGCAGTCGGGGGGGGGGGGTAAAACTCTCGGGAACAGCCTCTGGACTCCGCTGCCAGATCGACGGTTGATCAGCTGGGCACTTGACTTGTACTGCCAGTGCGGTAGAGCTCGCATTAGAATACTATGACACAGATTATCTCCAGTATACCTTATCCATCATTGGCTGAGATTTTTGTTCATTTGCACCAAATTTCTTGATACTTGATGACTGGATGAAAATGTTAAACCTCTACATCGCTTCTTAATACTTTGTAGCACATACAGTAGTATTACTTAAATCTTGTCACAACGCAGTATTTAAGATAGAGAATGCCAAGTTAGTGGATAAAGTATTTAATAATCTGCTTGTGGGTGTGAGAAATGTTTTTGTTGGTTAAGTACCACAGCGCTGACAATTGTTGACAGTTGAGGTCTGCTGGCTGTTGTGCCTTGTGTCAAGATGAGCAAAATTCCCGTCAAGTTCAGTGGCTGTTCCCCTGAACGATTTATCTCCCCCCAGACTTCCGCATATATAAGAGCATATTTATACAGTATCACGTTTTATAAGTTCTATAAATTTTTAGGATATATACAGCCATACAAACTGTAGTTCATTACCTATTGCACTACATTTTGGGTATCATTTGTTTCTGTTTCCTTTATGTTTGGTACCAAACAAAGAAATATGAAAAAACTTCATTCGAAAGCGAATTTCATAATGACTTCGACCTTTTATGATTAATACTGTATTTAAAATGTTCTAACATTCTCTCTGAAGTGCTAATGCCTTGAAATCATTTGCATTGTGATAGTCCAGTTATTTAACATTATTTTAGATAATAACAGGTCTGCTTACCAGTTGTGAACACATTTAGTTTGAATAAATGGACAGCTACACAAACATTTTCTATGAAACAATCAGCTATTTTTATACAAGAGGGATGTGGCTTACGGGTCAGGTTGGCCTGGAAATAGTACAGAATTGTCAACCTACATACATTATCGAAGTTTACAACAGTGCTCATTAGACTGAAAAATTTTAGGAAAATATTCTTTAGAAGAAGACTTGTTTCCAAAGTTTTAGTAATTATTTCACCAAATGATTCACTGATGAAAATTAAAAAAATTTTTAATGTAATTTTTCATGCTGATTATGGGGAAGTACTAATTCCTAATTTAATTTTTTTAGCCGGTCTTTCATTTGTTTTGTTTCCTACTGTACTGTTTATGCTGGTGCATTTCATGTTTGTTTACAGGCATTGTCCCCTCATGTGTTGGCCTGAACAAGGCTAAATAATGCTCAGCTGAGTTCTGTTTAATTTTACAGCTTTTTGAATTTGTAAAATGTTAAAAGACTGTCTTTTAAGTTCACAATGTGTATGTTTTTTTAATTTCATGTTGACTAGAAAAAGAAGTGCAAGTGTGAAATTGAAAAATTTTAAAGCATTAGTGTACAGAAGATTTAGAAACCAAATTATACATGGTCATTTAATTTTCTCCTTAAATTTTTTTTTTATTACGCCTTGTCATATTTTATTGGGCAGTGGATATTTTGCCGTCACTGTCTAAGTTCCTACTTACGCTGCATTACCGTGAGTGCACTCTGATTGGTTAATTGGCCATTAGCAGTGAACGTGAGATCTATATTTGACCGTGACTGGCGGCTTTTGGCATTTATTTTTCCGTGAGTCAATCATTGTGTGCCTATAAACATACCTTACCATATTTCTGTTTTGAATGGAAACTTATCATTGTAAAAGAGGCTACATTTATTAGAACCTAATAGAACTTGACATAAACAACCAAAGAAACCTACCTAATTTCCGAGTTGGGTGGCAGACCCCCCTGGCATATTAAACAGAATTATCAGAGTGCACTCACGATAAAATTGCGTTAGTAGGAACCTAATGGTCACGGCAAAATATCCACTATGTTTTTATTATGTATGTGGTAGAAGTCAACGGGAAAATGTGCCCCCTTTTTTTTTTTTAACAAACCCCTTTTATAAATTGATGTTTACCATATTTGACTGATATTTCTGTTTTCAGATCATTATTCAAGGATTTAAGAGTTATCGGGAACAGACTGTCATTGATCCTTTTGACCCTCGGCACAATGTAGTGGGTATGTGTTTCCATTATTAATTTTATTTTCAAATGGTAACTTCACAATTGTATATACAGTTCTGTAGATATATTTAGGCTAGACAGTTTTCACCCAAGGAAACCCTACTGTAGGGGATGCCTGGAACCCTCTTTTCCTCTGTTATGATATCTTATTCTTACCTTTTGTATCAATGACATAAGGTCACTGGGCTAGCCTTCTTTCTCCTAATCATCTTGTACAGTAAAAAAAAATAATAATTCTGCACCCCTGGGTCTGACGGCCTTCACAACAATCACTGACCAAGGCCATGTTCATTTGGTGTGGCTGGTACAGTACTTTAAATTGTGTGATGCATTGTGTAACCAATGCGATGTATCCTGTATATCACATAAAGTTAATACTGCACAGATAAACTAACAGGAATACAGTACATATAAAACCCGTAACTCATTCCTGTTCCGGTGTGTCATTTTGCATAACACCGTAAAGGTAAAGAAATTTTATTTTATTGACTGTACAAACATACTTATCTCCAAGTGCTGCCTCGATTAAAAAATCCTTAACATGATGAATATAATAAGTAACTTGTGGATGCACCAGAACATTTCCACGGATCGGTTGGCTTTCCTGGGGGTCAGTGGCACTGTCCTAAAACCACCCTACCAAGTAAACTCACAGTTATTAACACAAGTGCTTAAAACAAATTACATTAAAAATTGCAGTACTACATGTATTTGTGACGAACACCAATCTTCCTCCATTTCACTGCCACTTATAATTGGCTAAACCTGATTACTATTCCTCACAGAAACTCAAATATTTCCTTCTTTCATATTTTCTTGTTTCAACTTCCCTGGTTACAATCGTCTTTTAAATCTCAGAAGTGGTGGTGGTCTGCTGCAATCCACTGTTTAAGATCACATACCTGTACAACATAATCTCCTAAAGTTCTCTCTAATGTTTCACTTTACAAACACTCCTCCCAATACCTTAAATATTTCAGTTATCTCCCTTTTCCTTAATACCTTTGCTGTTTAGTCTATTTGATGCTGACAAAACACACAACATTCAACCTGATTCCACAGCTGAACCCATAATGCTGGGGAATATCAACATCCACAACACAAGTTGGTACAGTATAGGGGGGGAGCATTTTCCACTTCACTTAATCTTAAACGACTGGTCATCATTCCCTCGCAGATCTCTGATAGTGCTTAACACAGTGGAAACTTGTAAGATCTCGCATTAACTAAATCATCACAATTCCTAATCTTCTAAGGTTTTTTTAAACTCTTATCCAATGAAAATTTGTCAATTGGTATTATGATAACACCATAGAATTTAAGTTATCCAAATCAAACTCTCTGGAAAAAGACAGACTGCTGACCCCCCCCCCCTTCCCCCAAGCTATTCTGGCCTACCTTTAATGCATTCAGTTCTACCTTCGTTAGTCATTCATCCATTCCCTTTCTCATCAAAGCTAATAGTTTAGTGATCGCAACCGTGGAGAAGAATCGGTAGATGAATCCTGATCTTGATTTAAAGATGCCTGAATTTGGCCACTATTAAAAGACTGGAAAGAGATGCTTTGAAAACTGACAAAGCTTTATACCCAGATGAGATTCTTCCACGTGTTCTTGAAAAGTTTTCTGGTGAACTTTCTTCTTTTCTGTCCAAACTCCCTAGACTATCCACTCTTCATGGATGTACAGTATGTCAATATACTGTACAGTACATACAACCCCAAAGAAAGATGATAAATCCAGCCCTGCAGAATTTCCACCCATTTTCCATTACCTCACTAATGGGCGACCGGTGGTAGAAGCGGTACCGTTCTTGCCTCGCAAGCGAGATGTCACAGGTTCGATTCCCGGGCCGGTGGAAGTTGTTTGGACTTACTTCCTAGCCCCCATTAGTCCCTGTTCACCTTGCAGTAAAGTAGGTACCTGTTGTAAGTCGAAAGTTGCAAATTCGTATTCAGGGAAAGTTGTTGGAGCTTCCAATAACTTGATGACATAAACCACTGACTCTTCAAGCTTCTACGCCCTTGACTCTTCAGGCTTCTACGCCCTTAACTCATGAGACATAAAGGCAAGCATGAACTTAGCATGCTTCCCTGTTGGGCGCTGTAAACGCTTCTGCGCTTCACCTTACACAAGGATGTAGGGGAGTGCCCAATAAAAAAATAAAAAAATTATCTCAACAATTTCAAAGATTTTTGAAGTGGTAATCTCTACAGTACCCATATTATCAAAAACAAAATATCACTTAGTAGTCATCAGTAAGGCTTCCACACTGGATGCTCTACTGCTGATCCTTTATAATTCTTTTCACATTGAGTCTACCAATCAGTACTCAGCAGTGGTTAAACCTGTGTACTTGTCTCTGACATATCCAAAATATATGACAGCATGGCACAGGTCCTTACTTGCAAAATAACCCTTCATCGGCAATTCTTCCTTAGTCCCTTTAATTTCTTCTTAAAGACGACCAGCCAGAATTACTCTCCAACCATATAGAAATGAATACTATATTGGAAAGGGGTTCTGGGCATTCTTTTTTCCTCAGGTTTGTTCCTATTTCTTTTTCTTGCTGTTCATTTCCCTTTTGTTGATAGGGGTAGTATGGGTCTTAACTCATCTACCTACCAAAACACATTAAAATTCCAAACTGGCACTCTGTGAATCTCCCTGCCACAAAAGTTTTTTCCAACGCCATATAACCTCAGTCAGTTCAACTCCTACTTCATATATCTACAGTCCAGACATGGGGTAATTGTAATAAAGTAATAATAATAGACTATTACAGGCTTTTTAAAATACAGGTAATAGTAATGCTGTATATCAAGTTTTTGGCTGTAATAGTAATAAAAAGCAAAGTAATAGATAATAGTCTACTACTTTTCAATTACAAAGACATTTCTTTAACTCTTACGACTTAGGTTGCCAAAAAATTTCTCATAATTACTGAATTGCTACTGCCATTCAACAGTTTGCTTTGACAAGGGAATAACAAAAAACAACCATAACAACTTGTTTGTAACACACCAAAATACCATGCATATTTGTTATTTCATTATTCACAAGAATAAATTACTGCAGAATATAGATAAAATAGGAACATACTGAGGATTATGCACGAAAAATGCTATCTGGCCACTCCAGGCTCCAAGTGTGGTGACTGGATGTGTTGATCGTGTATAGTTCGTGACCAAAAGTACAGTAATAGTAGACCAAGTAATAGTATGTTATCGATGACAAAGTAATAATAGCAATATAATAAAGCAAACTAAAGGCAATAGAAACCAGTAAGAGACCCCATGTCTGCTAGCTACAGTCTAGTAAGGGGATGCCACAGTGATTAGATTTGACAACTTTCATCTGGAATTTTCCTGTGGTTTTTATTTGTTAGAAATATAATGCTAATTACAGGTACTGTTTACTAATAGAGGCTCTTATTTCTTACAGTTGGTCGAAATGGTTCTGGCAAGAGTAACTTCTTCTATGGTAAGTTATCTTTGATGGTCTTATTTGTCCCCAACAGATCACCAGAGGGGGTCATAGGATTGTAATCTGTAGAGTTATCATAAATTATCCGTGGCTGTTCAGTACACACAAAGCAGTGATTATTTTTTCTCTAAACTTTGCACAGCAATATGTGATGTGCATACTGGTTAATGCTTATAGGTGTATTTTAACAGTTTATTTTATCTTTTTACTTTACACTAAGTAATCTGAGAACAGGGAATTTGTTATTGATTTGGTGGACATTCATTGTGGGATGAAAACTTGTTGTTTATTATAAAAATGTTTCCTTTGGATTGTTTAACATTTATCCTGATAGTGATTCAGCCAAAAATTGTTCCACCAATCACAATCCCCATTACATACAGTTTAGCTTTAAGTATTGCCGGGTAAAATTGCAAGTATTGTACGAGAGCCAGGGTGGGGTCGATGGAGCTTTGGCTGACTGTACAAAGTACTCAGGATAGTAATTAGTAGCATTTTCTAATTGTATATACAAGACATGTTTTGTGTGAAATTATGTATGTGCTTCAGATCATATATTTTACAAACACATGGAGGGTAATTTAAATTGTAAACAATCATTTCTTTTTATATAATAAATACAGTACTGTGACTGGTTTTGTCTTTCTAAAAACATTTTTGTAAAAATGCTTTTCATTTGAAAATGAATTTCAACAAAACTTTTGTATTATATCACACAGTATCTTACACAAATTTAATTGGTATGTTTGGATTCCTTGCCAATGGCAATCTATATTTTGACATACAGTACACTACTCATATTTGACCAAGGTGTACTCTCGCAATTTTACATTTCTGATCTTGGATAGGGAAAGTTCTTGGGATAATCATGACTTGGTTTGCTGAAATAAATCTCTTTACACTAATAAGATATTTTAATCAAGTAAAATATAACCTGATGAATACAAGATTTGGTTTCATGTTATATAGTATTTAAATAAGCACTTATAAATGTTAAAAATACATCTTCAAAAATCCCCTTGCTGTGAAAATATACTTTTATAAAATAAGAGGGACCATATTGGCAACTATTTCCTAGAAAACATATTTGCAGCGAATCCGCATGCATTTGGTTGGCTTATTTGGAATTCATACCCATGAAAACCTGTTTTGACACCATAACATATTCCTGTGACGAGTATAAGTGGTGACATGGACAAAAACGTACATAGTGCACTGTCATGGCAGCTTTTTTTTTTTTTTTTTTTTTTTCTCTCCCTCAAAATCCAAAGGGTGATCTTGGTTTGTTTTCATGTACATACATAGAACACCCCCCTCCCCCTAGCCACAGGAGTAAAATTAAAGATAACTTTCATAAGCATCAGAAAATGTAACAGGATCTTTGCCTTTCATTTTAGCTATCCAGTTTGTACTCAGCGATGAGTTCAACCACCTCCGAGCAGAGCAACGGCAGGCCCTCCTCCATGAGGGTACGGGCCCACGCGTTATATCTGCCTTTGTTGAGATTATCTTTGATAATGCTGATGGCAGAATACCTGTAAGTATATTTAAAAACTGCTTTTCTTTTTAATAAACTTCTACCTTGCTTTGTGCTACCCTGCATAAAACTCATCATGAAGAACATTCAGAGGATGGTAATTATTTAACGCTTACAGATCGGCCCCTCAAGTAGAAAACATTTGTGATGGGGTATTTGGCTGGCCCTCTGATTGCTAGTAGGCTTTCTCTGATAACTTAACTCAGTTTTGTGTGGGTGTGAGGAACTTACCTGGAGTGACCACTGCTGTCAGTCAGTTGATGCCTTGCCAGCAACATACACACCTCCAAACCTGTGTTCACATCCAAATTCCACATTTTCTTATAACTTTTCACCCTTATTGTGCAAAATTAGCAAATGAATTTTAAGAGTACCTACATAATAATTTTCTTGGACCTGTATTTAATTTGCCTCAAACAGTATTATTAAGAGTAAATGAGAAAATTGAAAATCGAGCATCTGGCCGAGTTGCATTATTTTTGTATATTTTTATTGTTACTTAAGAAAATAATCTGAAAATGGTGATACCCACATTACTTCAGATTTTATGCCCACATTTCAGAAAGCCTTAACACATGCAAGAATTTCAACCCTACAGAAATATGTAATGTGTATGTGTAAGACAGCTCCCCTGGCTTTAGCCTCGAGATTTGGTATATACTGTACATGTATTCTTTCTTTAGGTCATTTCAGTAAGAAGTTAACTGCCTTCTTGTTCAAGATTTTTATCTTATGTGTCTTGTTTGTTTCAGATTGACAAGAACGAGGTATGTTTGCGTCGCGTTATTGGTGCCAAAAAAGATCAGTACTTTCTTAACAGAAAAGCAGTTACAAAGCTTGATGTGATGAATCTCTTGGAATCTGCAGGATTCTCTCGATCGAACCCATATTACATCGTCAAACAGGTAATATGATGAAAACTTTTAAGTATTATTATTATTGGTGTGTAAAATATTGGTACATGCCTAGCATGTATATCTTGTATTGACAGTGACACATCTTTTGTAATTTCAGGGTAAGATCAACCAAATGGCAACAGCCCCTGACTCCCAAAGATTAAAACTCCTAAGGGAAGTTGCTGGTACACGAGTGTACGATGAAAGAAGAGAGGAATCCAAAGTAATTCTAAAAGGTACATCATTTGCTAGACTTGTTAATGAAAGCGGGGAAGAACCATAAGTACTGTACAGTTCATAAGATTCTTTAATCTCACTCACATTTTTTAGTTCAGGTTGTGGGATGTAATGTTATAGTACAAGTGACAAAGTCTGACACTTAATATATATTTTGCATAGCTTAATGTTTTGTTCATAGTTGCTAATAATATGCATTGAATGATTGTGATATTCATAACTGCTTTATTTGTCCAGAAACCCAAAGTAAGAGAGAAAAAATTGAGGAGTTCCTGCGGACAATAGAAGACAGACTACAGACTCTGGAAGAGGAGAAAGAAGAATTGAAAGAGTACCAGAAGTATGACAAAATGCGTAGAGCACTGGAATACACAATTCATGATCGTGAGCTGAAAGAAACTAGAAAAAAATTGACTGATGTGAGTAAATTTGTTTTTTAGAGATTCAAAGAGAACCAAGGATGGTATAAAGGGTGAGCTAGAAGTGAGGATGGGGATGGACATCCAGGGAGAAGAACGTGTAACAATGACTGGGGAGAATTTCATGATTCCAAACCTGACATAGCCAGGGACGAAAATGTCTGGTTTTCTAAGATGAGGTTTCTAGGGTATCTACCTGTATTTGATGACCTGACTGTTTGTCAGATGTGTATACTTGCTTGCCACAGAGCTGTATTCTCACTCATCAGTTTCTGCATGTTTGTATTAAAATGTTGAATTGCTCAAATGAAACACCATTTATTAAGATAATGATTATAAATATGGTCAGTGTTTTGTTTCTCAGACACATTCTTTATAGCTGCACTGGATCTTATGCAAGATGTACACACTAATATTTCTTGAAGTTTTGTATTATAGAAATGTTAATATATTGTATGGATTACTATTTTCAATACATGCCCATCAGGTACTAGGATTTTAGATATACCTGTTCAGTAGATCTATAGAGTATTTAATATTTCAACAATTTAGTTCATAAAAATAGCAGGAATAATCAACTTTGGTGAAAGATGAAATTGTGGATTTTGGAGTTGATTTGGTGGAGTTGACACACCAGTGTCTAGAGGATTTGGTAGAGGTGGCAGCAAAGTAGGAGGAGTTTACAAACAACAGAACCAGCTGATGATATAAGAGGCTGACTTGTTGTCTCATGCTCATTGATAAGTGATCCAGGAAGGGATTAATGTGGTCTAATCCTGGAGTGAACTTTGTAAGTTCAAGTATACAGGTACTCTCAATTTAACGGAATCCGATATAACGAACTCGATTTAGCGGAAGGAATTTTTCCATTATTTTTCACTCAATTTAGTGAACTAGTTTGCTAAATCGAGATTAATTCCGTAAATATGTTCACACTTATGGAGACACCTCAGACATATGACATGGACATGGAAACCTTATTTATGGCTTACCGTAAACTAGGGGTTCAGTGTTTGTTTTAATTTTTTTTACTTCTATAATTTCCAAACTTTTTCCAATTAATAGCCACACTCTTTTGACTTTCTCCCCCACACCACTTCTTTTCTGAGACTTCTGGGAGACTTCCAGCATGATGTCTAAGCAAAGAAGTTATTTGACTGAGATGTAGCGGTGAACAACAACGTGGTGGTGGCAGGACACAGACTGAGCGGATGTAAACCGACCCCATGCCCTATGCGGTACATTTGGTGTGGATTTTAAAGGAATTGCGCTCAATTTAGTGAACTAGTTAGCTAAATCGAGCGAAAGTAACAAAATTTTAACGGAATCACGCTCAATTTTGCAAACTAATTTGCAAACAACGGAAATTTGATTTAATGGAGAGAGGTGGCTCAAATTAGTTCGTTAAATCGAGAAAATACTGGAGTGTATATGATGCCACACACACATGGTGACGCTCAATGTTATTTGAACGACGAAGTCATTATATGTCTGAAAGGTATTTAATATTATACAGTATACCTTTGGATGTGGGTGGCAGGCCTTGTGGAACTTACTGCATTCCACATTTAAAATGGTACCCATAAACAACTCCTGCCAAGTGTTGTTTTGTAGGGTGTGTGAGTTTTCTTGTGTCAAATAAATTATATATTTTTTTCTCTCCCTGATATTTATAAGAATCATGTTTTTAAATGCAGATGGAGAACCAGCGCAAAAACTCAGGAGCTGAGCAAGAACAATTCCGGCAGCAGCTACAGAAGGCCCAGGAATCAATCAAGACTTACTCAAAAGAAATGAAAGATGTTAAATCCAAACTGTCTCAGGTTAGTAAATAAGATATGAAAGTTAATACCATAGGACTGAAATGTTTGATATAGGAAGATATTGCAGTACTTAGGTTATCTGAAGATAATGAGAATAGTACTGTCAAACATCCTTCAGGTTATTTCTTTAATTAATGAAAATATTAGTACTGTATTCAAGATGCCTTAAATTGGTGTTGGTGATCATATGAATTGTACTACATGCCAGCTAAAGGGCTTTGGACGTCCTTCATATAATGCCCAATTCCCACTGAAGAAGTGGGTTGGCAATAGTAATGGCATCCAGCCCTAAAATTTGCATCAAATTTGCCCAGCGGTAACTGGGCCATTAGGTAGTCATGACTGACCCACGCAAGTGTTTAAAAAAATGGCTGTAAAATGGTGTTGGTGCATTTATTTTCACCCTGGAGACATTTGCTTGTGAATATAATATTGAATTTTACTTTCTTTTTGGTAAAGGTAAAAGAAGAGAGAGACACGTACAATATGGAACAGCAACAACTTTTGAAAGAGAAAACAAAACTGGAGTTCACAATAAAGGACTTGGCAGATGAAGTTCAAGGAGACAACAAATCAAAGGAGAGGGCAGAGAAGGAATTATTGAAGCTGAGAAGTACAATCTCCCAGAAGGAAGCCGAGCTGGAAGCCATCAGACCCCAATATGAAGAAATGAAGGCTCGAGAAGATGAGGCACAACATGAGTAAGTTTGACAAAATTACTTAAAATTTTGTAAATAGGATAAGATATTTTAGGCAAAGCGCTGTAACGATTATATTGGTTAGGAAATGATATGGGATATTGTTAAAGCTTGGCGTATGTAGGAGACGGAAAGTATGCATGGAAAAGTAATTGAACATTTGATGGAAAGTACGTATGCGAAAATGGGACGTATACGAGTTGAGTGTTGGGCGTAAATGACAAAGTAATAAGGCTGTGCAAGACTTGGCAATTAGGGCTGAGAAATTCTAAAGGTGAAAGATTTGAGGTGAAAAGGATAAGACAGCCAGAGAGGATCATGACATTATTTTTGGAATCTGTAGGTGTAAAGGTTTTTAGAGCTTGTCATTGGGCCTAAACATAATTTTTTCTGTGCTGTAGACCCCCTAATCTTGAATGAGGAGGTAATACCTCCGAGTTATACAGTGAGAGATTGAAGTATTTTCCCCTGGTTTTGGCGAACAAATCACAAAACAGTTGAGCCATTCGACACAGCATGTGTGGAGCTCATAAACAGTTGGTAGACCTGTGGAACCTTGAAAACGGGTCGCCTGTGACACCAGTCACTGTTGGGTAGTCAGGTTTCATTATACTTCAGCCAAAACTGGGAAGATTCTTTGTTCTCTCACTCACTATACTGTACATGAGTACTGTATCCTCAAACCAACAATGTTATAACTGTACAGTACTTGTTTTAAAACATGAGGGAGTTCTAAGTGGTCAAGACTTACTTTTAGTCCCATAGGCACATTATGTCTACATTATTCCAGTTCCCAAAATAGCAATGTGCTACCCTTGTACACTAGATATTGGCACCCTAAGGGAGGAAGGGGAATATAATTTGTTTGTATGCAATACGTGAAATTGAAATTAATATTTAACTCATAATGACACAATTGATGTGTTTAACTGTACTTCTTGAAAGGGAAGATAAATGCTTGGAACTTTGAGGGGATGGCAGTTAAGGTTTGTGGTAGAAACATACTGTGGTGGAGAAAATAAGGGTTATGCAGATGTGACCGGGGATATATACATACAGGGCTGTTTGTAGGTGTGAGAGTTGGTTTTCAAGGTGAAGTGGTTATTTGTTGGAATTTGATTTGTTTGGACAAGGTTGGCTTGTGTATATACTTAGTAATATCTTTTTTTTTTATGGATATTTTATTTGTTTTTTCTTTGAAAGGCTGTCCATGAAAGATCAGAAACGGAAGGAGCTGTATGCTAAGCAGGGTCGAGGAAGCCAGTTCACCTCCAAGGAACAGCGGGACCAGTGGATCCAGAAGGAATTAAGGTAATGTTCAAATTTTCTAAATGAAAAACTGGCTATATTAATGATATACTCTTTTAGATTAATTTTTTGTCTGAATTGATTGGTTAATGAAATAATTAAGTAAAAAATAAAAGAATCGTTAATTTTGAGATAAAACTATTACATGTAACACAATTTATTATAAATAAATGTAAGAACTATTACATTCAATACATCTGCTGTCCTAATAGGTGAAATTATTGAGAGAAAAAAATAACTAGATGAGGTTGGTGTACACATTGTACAGTACAGTACTGTAGTAGTTTTAGTTAACAATATTCACAGTTATGGCCCATCAGTATTACCTTAACAAGTGACTCCAATCTAACCCTTTCATAATAAACTTTGGTGAACCTAAGCTGGTTCAACTTTTAAATAATGTAGAATTACATTGTGAACACCTTTAAAGCACAGTACTGATTTGCATTGAGTTTTATAAAAGGTTATCTTTACTGATAAAAGTATTTCCTGTAGTGTTGGTTATATCAAAAAATTTCACCAATTAGGAATTTTATATATATATATATATATATATATATATATATATATATATATATATATATATATATATATATATATATATATATATATATATATATATATATATATATATATATATATATGTGTGTGTGTGTGTATGTATGTATGTATGTATGTATGTATTTATGTGTGTGTGCGTGTGTACACATACACATCAGTTCATATTTATGTAAGCAGTATTTCCTAGAGTTTATCAACACCAAGCATTTATTAATGTATACTGTACGGTACTTTAATTCATTAAAAAAATAAGTTGGTGTATAACCAAATTGTTGTAATTTCTCAATTTATAGTCCTTGTGCTCATTTTTTTGTCACTGGTATCATAAACACTTGAAAACACTGCTAAACCAATGAATCATTCATTTGTCATCATTGTAATAATCACATACAGTTACATATAACAGTGAGCATCTTGTGCATTCCTGACCCATCCATACCCTTGCTGCTAAAGCTCTTACTAACACTACTATGACATCTCACCTGCATCATTATGTTGATTTGCTACTGTTCTCTACCATCCTTTAGCCTCTGATGTGGATTTTATTTCTTGTCTGCATTTCTTGATGCTGAATTGCCAATTTGAAAGGTTTATCATATGTATTTTAATTTCTTATGTGGATATTGGTTGATTTATTGCATGTGTTTCTAAAGTGCTTTGTCATGCGTTGATTTAGTAGATGCAGATATGTAGTTCTGTTTACTAATGATAATTAGTAGTGGACCATCAAGACCCCACAACTGAAGGTGTTTATACTCTTTATTTCATTCAGTCATAACTTTTATGAAATTGAAAAATATAAGTGAGTATGTTTCATTAAATGTTTACAGGGTTCTGTGTATATGCTTAAGTATCTTTTCCATTGCTCCTTTTGACTTGGTTTGTTTGATATATAGAAACTGATGTAGTGTATTTTGGGGTCAAAATGGGTTCAAGGTTGGCATAATTTATAAACACACAAGCCTTAGTATAAACTCCAGAACTTAAAAGCACTTTGTAGACAAATTTGGGAGAATTTTAGTGAGAGATGTCTCCCAACACATTATTATTATTATTACATACAGTATTTAAGTTCCGGGGTTCTGAATTGGTATAACATATATTTTAGGCCCATAGACACTATACTATTAATATCTTCCTGGCACAAACACACACTGGTCCCAAGAACATTGTCCCAGCTTTGAACTCCTAATATGAACCTGAAACATTTGATACTTATGGTTTTGTTTCTTGGGATATGCCTGTTAGGCTTATTATTCTGCACATATTTACTCCCCCTTTAATATTTTATTATCATCATTTTCATCATAATTACTATTGTCATCATTTGTCTTCCTTGCACTGCACCAGATCCTGAAAATGTAATAACCTATCCCATTAACTTTTGCATCCTCAATTTATGGTTGGATAATATTAAATTGTTTCTCACATATCTCAAACTGGAAGGAAAAAAAATCTTTCTAATTACCTTGTAAGAAATTCACTGCTGCTGGAATTGACATTCTGGTATCGAACAATCCTCTTGGCTTTTATACAAAGGATAGATGCAATTATTTGAGGTAGTTTGACAGATTGGGCAAGATGTATTCAAGCAGTTCATCAGCACTGTCTATTGACTCCAACCTGCCCATACGGACAATATTATTTCCAGGACAATCGGCTAATGTATCAACAAATTTGTAAAAACATCATAAATCAACTTTGATTTTTGATTATTTTCCTAAAAGTCTTATTTAATTGTACAGTATTAAAAGTTACTGATATTTAGCTTTTTGCTAATGTTTTCAGGTTGAAGTTGAATTCTATGTGAACTAGGAAATACATTGATTAGTTTGATAATAGTCATTATTGTTAGCAGACTATTATGTGTAGCTACAGTACAAGTATATATTATGAGGTTGGTGGTTTTACTGTTTTGTGTTGTGTAGTTAATATCACACATGATTATGATGACACTAAATATGGTATATGTATTAAACTTGGGATGTTATAGTTAAGGTTAATGGTTGTCTGGATCAGATTAGGTCAGGACTGAAAGAATGCTGATTCCAGAACCTCTTCAGGATCCAAGGGAATCTTACGTAAAATTCATGGAACCTATTTCTTGGGTGATTTATGGTATTACATTTAGCTTGGTTAATTGTAAATGCTGAATTTCGTGCAGTAAATCCCCGTTTAGCGTTGATCAAAATGTCATTTCGGTATTACATTACGAGTCAGGTAATATACGGTTCGTGGCTCTTTATATCACCGAGTCGTACATGTTCCAATGTAGTGTATTTTTGGATGTCTTCTAGTGCGGACTACCTTGGGATGTGCCTCGTGCGGTTCTGAAATAGCTCACAGAGGACTCAATGCTCACCCACAACTCTCGGCCTTTGTTTCATGATTGCTTGGTGCTGATATTTAAGCTGTTTTGTGATAGCATGCCTCTTTAACTCTTATTTGCTTGTTTCTACCACATTATCATGCCTCAAAAGTGTTCACAAAGTGAAAGTACAGGTACTCCTCAACTTATGACCGCTGAAGTCGTACCAAAATTTTTTCAAATTACGTATTTTTGAGTCCCAACGATAGTGACTGTGCTGTGTACTGACAAAATTTTTGTTTGTAATTCCCTTTAAAATAGCTGGCAAGCTTAAAAGTTAGAGTTTTGTGGTGCTGAGAAGAAAAAGCGACACCCATTTTAGATTTTCTATGTATTATTTTCGCATTTTCGACTTAGGACCTGGATTTGGGTCCCTAACCCCGTCGTAAGTCGGGGATGGTCTGTAAGGTGTTTGTTGCCAAGAAGCAAAGAAAAACATTTACCTTTGGTATTGAGTTGGAAGTTTTACATTATTTAGATTCTGGGGAATGTGTGGCAAACACTGCTATTGCTGTATATCTGACTCGCAACAGTGTGGATGATTTGTGAAGAAGATAGTAGTCGAGTGCTCATAGTATTATATCATTACATGCTCCAAAAATTTGCCATGCTTGAGGTCTTATGGGAAATATTGAGTGGCTTTACTCAACTTTATTTCATCTGTCCAAAATTTTGCTAGTGACAGCATAAAGCAACAAGCTTGTTTTGTTTGATAGTTTAAAAGACCAGAGGGTAAAGGATCACAAGAGAATAAAGCTCTGAATTGGCTAGAAGAGACTATGGTCTTTTCATGTGCTACCTAAAAAAATTCAGTTTGATATGTATACAGTTGACCCTTGCTGTTTGCGGGGGTTATGTTCCACGGACCCCATGGATTGTCAAAATCTGCGAATAGTATTAGCGGCCATAGTATTGTATGTTTGAGATACTCGGGTCGCCCATAAACACAACCATGTATGGTACTTTGGTATGTTTTTCTTTAGGCATGTTCAGTGGTGAAAAACATCAATAAACCAATGAATTCTTAAAACAACATACAATACTGTACTATAATTCTTCTGTAGGTGTACTGAACCAGTTTGTGCATTATGATTGAGATACTTGAGTCACCCATAAACAATCATATGTGATTTTGCAGTATGTTTACTTTAAGTACACATACAATGGTGAAAATAACGAAATCATACAATATACTATATGTACAGTAAGATAAAATAAGAAAAATGAGGTGGAAAGGGAATTTTGGGTGACTGGGTTGGGCTCAACAGAAATTTCTCACCCCATTATAACAGTGTGCAATTTCACCTTAATTCCCATATTATTTAGGTTGATTTGGTGCCAGGTTAATAAATATCATAAAGTAATACCTTTTCCTGTGGGGGGGAGGGGGGTTCCACACTCAACCTAGTTAGTGATTTTGTTCATATATGCGAACAGCTGAGCAGCCAGCAAACCCCGGCATAATGGTGTCACCCAGAGGATGATTATGGGAAGGAAAGGAGTTCTGTGTATTATGGATCTACTTTTTTTTTCTCTTTATACAGTACAGCCTTGCCATTTGCAGTGAGCATATGGTGGCTAACTTGCAAGCCTTTTCCCACAGCACAACGAGTCACCCTGCAGCATCTTATGTTGTACTCTCAAAACTTTAGAGTTTCTGTGTGAAATGACCCCTTAAAGACTGCCTAGTGTCAGTGCTAGTGGAGTGAAATGTGAAAGGCAGAAGTCAGTGATGACCCTGACAAAGAATTATTTATTATTAGATAAGTTAAATGTAGGGATGAGTACTGCCATGGCTGGTCAGTTGTTTGGTATAGGTATACAGTAGTGCACTAAGGTAGTATAAGTTGATACTCATATATAAGAGAATGAGCCGTCAATGGTCAAAATCGATAACTGTAGAATCAAACCGCAAATGTCAAGGGTCTGTATATATAAACTCCAGTGTGGCACAACTGTAGCTTGCGATAATCAACGTGATTATTTACAACTGCCACAGCTCCCTTTTAGTGGTTGGTGCCCCTAAATTTATCTTTACTTGCCTAAAATATGCCTCCTTGGAGACCAGCAAGGG